TTGTAATCCATAAGCTGTACTTTGGAAATTTATATTCATTAAATAAAAGTTAAAAAAAAATTATTTTTAAGGACTAAAAAAATAAACATAACTGAACAGAAAATAAAAAAATGGTAGGAATGATTTTTAAGTTGTGTATAAACCAACTTCAAGTAAACTCTTTTGGAAGTAAAACATGCACACAGAAGTATGCCCAATAAAAAAGGGCACAGCTGGGTGAATTCACCCAAGCGGACTTCCCAGTCAGCCTGAACACAGAGCAAGAAACACAGCATGAAGAAGGTAATGTCACCACAGGCTACAATATGGAGGAACCTTGAAAATATTACATTAAATGAAAGAAGCCAGACACAAAAGGACAAGTACCACTTATGTGAGGTACCAGAGCAGTCAAATTTAGAGAAATGGAAAGTAAAGATGGAGCCTGCCAGAGGCTGGGAGAGGGGCAAAGGGGACTTGTTTCCAATAAATATAAAGTTTCAGCTTTTGAAGATGAAAGAGTTCTGGAAATCTATTGCATGGCACTTTGAATATACTTAACAGCCCTGAACTGTCCACTTGAAAAAGGTTTGGATGGCAAATTCCATGTTATGCGGTTTTTTTTCCACAACAAAACCAGAAAGAAATACAACAGTATCAGCTTCCCAGCAGCCCTCAGGCCCCTTCCTATTTACCTCCCTTATCCAAGATAACCACAATCCTGATCTCTAAAAATAGCCCACCTGCTTTCCAAAGATTCTAGAGTTACTAAGGGAGAAAATAGTTTATCAGATTTCTTTCCTTCTGACAGGAAAATGCCTCCAAATCCAAAAGGAATTTGATAGTGCCTACCACACTGGTTGGCATACAAAAGTAGCTCAAAACTGCTTGCTAATTCTGTGCTCGGGCTGGCGCCGCAGCTCACTAGGCTAATCCTCTGCCTGCGGCGCTGGCACCTCGGGTTCTAGTCCCAGTCGGGGCGCCGGATTCTGTCCCAGTTGCTCTTCTTCCAGTCCAGTTCTCTGCTGTGGCCTGGGGGGGGGGGGGGGGGCGGGTCAGTGGGAGGATTGCCCAAATGCTTGGGCCCCCGCCCCGCCTGGGACACCAGAAAGGAGACACCCTGGGCTCCTGGGTTTCCGATCAGCGCAGCGCACCGGCTGCAATCGCTGGCCGTAGCGGCCATTTGCGGGGT